GGCCAAGATATGGTTAATTGCTCATTTTAATTGCAGTTTAGTCTGCCTTTTTCATCTATGGCAGATGATTGGGTAGTTAGAGGCAAGCAGTTCTCTGAACAGCTCCTCATGCTGGTACTACATTGGAGCTGGAGAGAGAAGGGGAAAATATTTTAAATGGGGGTGGCCTGTTGTGCCACACAGAGACAAATCTGACTCCCTTCCTCTTATGTTGCATTTGTCCTATATCTGTTTCTGAAATTCCATCTTTGTGGAGGAAAAAAGTTGCAGAAGTGATAGGATTGCAGTGACTAGGTATTACTTCTCTGTCCATCTTGACAGTAGTCTTATAATCTTGGCTGACTATTTATATTAAGGGTCTGAGCAGCCTATTGCTTGATCTAAAATGACCTCAAGTTTATAACCATCAGTCTAAAGCTTCTATCCTAACAAAGGCTATGTCTACACTACAGCTGGGATTAACGCTCTGAGATCGATCCATCGGTGGTCGATTTAGCGGGTTTAGTGAAGACCCGCCAAATCGACAGCAGATCATGCTCCAGTCAACCCGATGAGAAGAGTAAGGTAAGTCGACGGGAGAGTTTCTCCCGTTGACCCCCCCGCAGTGTAGACTTCACGGTAACTCGACCTAAGGTATGTCGACTCCAGCTACGTTATTCACATAGCTGGAGTTGCGTAGCGTAGGTCAACTTACCACGGTAGAGTAGACGTAACCAACGTATGAGCCAATGGTGGTGTACTCTTAGGACAAGGTTTCATACTTCTCTAGGCAGCCTTTGCCAGTTCTTTTCTCACCTCTAAACAAAATTCCTATAGTTTTTACTGAAATCTATTTGTAGTATCTGTTGTGCCTCCACTGTCTTTCATACTGTGATTGTAGTAATGAAACCACTTGAGCAAAAGATTACTCAATGATCCATCCTTTAGGGATTCTTCTATTGACTGTTTCTAGGAACTCATGCTACAGTTTCTCTGTTTCTCTCCTAGACTTGGCTTTTGAGTTATGCCTGTAGTGGCCTTTTGTCTGTAAAGGAGTACTGGAGAGGGAGTGTTCTCTAGGGATATACAGGAGGCTGGAGTTTCATAATTCAATTCTGGTCCTGACTATCTTTCTCTCACTACCTTGCTATAACTTACCCGAATTTCTTTGTATCTGTGTTTGCTATCTGTGTAATGGATGTAATAATTGGATGATATGGGTGTCAAACTTTGTTTTTAAAGTACTTTACAGATGTGTTGGATGGATTTCTTGTAGGATATGCAAATCAATTCTTGGATCCATTTGTGCTCTGTTTATAATGCTATATAACGAGAAAACTAGCAGGTGAGAAAGCTTGAGGGAAAATTTCTCTCTATAAAACACCTTGCTAAACAACTGATCTGATTGGTCTTTCATTTCCCTTCACAAATGGATAACTTACAGGCAGACATTTAATTGTGTACGGTAAATTTTTTTTAAAGCACTTAAGTATCATTTTCAAAAGTGACTTAAGTTCCATCAACTTTCATTGGGACTTTGGAGCCTGAAGTCACTTATGTGCTCTTGAAAATCTTGTCCCAGGTTACAGATCTTGTCAGTATGGGAAGCATCTATGGATGAATCTGAAACTGGTTTAGTGGTCACATTTGTTAGGCTGACAGTTGCAAAACATCTCCACATCAGCTGTCAGGTTGTTTTCCAAACAGATGGGGAAACTTAACAAGAATAAACTCCACTCCTTTGGTATTTTTATATATGTGGAAGCAGGAAAAATCAGAGCTGACCATTGGATGGAAATAAAACGTATATCCGAAATTTAAAAAATACTAAAGTTGTGATGTTGATGGGAATTCCATTATCTTGTAAGCAGCTGTTGTAACATCACTTAGCCATTCATTGGAGAGAGTCTTAAGGAAATGCTGAAGCAATGAGATGGGTAAAGGCTGAAATTGTTTAAAAATTGTAAGATAGCGAAGCTAGACAGTAAATGGCTGACTGAGATGGTTCTGGAGAGCTGGAGCCTGAGCCGGTGAAAGGTCAGAGCTGGCTTGCATGGGCTGGAACACTACATGCATATTTGCAACCAAATTTAAGAGACGTGGAAGATAGAAATGGCAACAACTGATGTGCTTGTATTTTGGATAGCTTCCCTGGAGAACAGCCCAAATAACCATTCCTCTTTTAAAAAAACAAAAACAACCCCCAAACATTGCTCTGTATATTGATAGGCAATAAAACACAACCTTGACGTTAAGTCCAAAAATAGCAGTTTTCCACTGGTCAGTACAAAACCAGTTCTGGGGAGAGAAAAAAAAAAAGGAGTGACTTTGAATTCCTCCCAGAGTGGTACTTTTGTGTAAGTGATTAGTTTTAAAGAATATGTAGAGTCTGTGCAATTCTGAAAGATAGCCTTGTATATTCTGTTGTCTTCCTTCTTCTTAGTTATGGTGTGAGCTTCACACACAGTAACAGATTTAGACTTGGATCAGTAAGGGGGTGAATTAACTATTTGGAAATGAGAACAGGCTTTTCAGCTTTGGGTCAGTCCAATAAATCAAAATCCTAAATATGTATCTTTAGTACCTCATTTTAAGGATATAAATGGTGAATTGTACTCTGTGCTTGGTGTCATGAAAACATGTTCTTTGAACAGTGTGTCTGGAGGATTATGTTGTATTAAAATGAACATTGTTCAAGATTAACTGTTTATATTTGGGAAACCGCACTAGTAAGAACATTACTATATAATGGTTTCTGAGGTACTTTGATTATAAGCTCATGTTCTGTGGCACTCAAAACTGTTTAACGTCTCTCAACTCTGTCCCTCTCCAAATTTTTTTAACACAATATCCTTGCTGTGTGTTTTTAAAGGGCTGGAGCGGATGAGGTATTTATGTGTATACTCTGTTAATTGCAGACCTGTTAAGTAATCCAAGATTGCATGTGTGTGTTAAACAAAATGTTTTGTCAAATGTCCTAAACAAGAGGCTTCAGACCCTTGGTCTAGAAGTTTGGGCTGAAAGCTGCTGAAAAAAAGACTTCAGTGCTGTGTGTATTAAAAGAAAACAAAAAAAACCCTCACATCTCTGAACAAAGCAGTTTCATTTTTAAATTGGCTTACAACAAATGTTGTACCAATGAATCAGTTAGCTCATATAAAACCAAACCTTGTAGTTGATATATCCATCATTCGAATTGCTTTTGCTTTTAAGAACTAGATGTCTATTACATGGAACTCTTGAACATGGGTGTGCTTTAATGGCTGTTAAAGTTTAAATTTGAAAGATATTTTATTTATCTTGTGCATTCAGCATGAAATAAAAACCTTGTGTAAAACTTCAAACCATGAAGACTGACTCGGTCTATTCTGTATTGTCAAGAACTATTTGGTTAGAGAGCTAGATATCTTCCTCCCATCCCCCCAAAATCTGATTGTTAGAAAAATGAAATCAGAAGGTGGCAATTCACTCACCAAAAAGCCCTTTTTGTGAATGTGGCAAGTTAAAAGGAAGCTTGCTATTAGAGAACAAACTGTGCCTGTTTTGCCCAGCCCTGCAGTATGAAAACTCACAGGATAATATGAAATATTTATTACAAATAAATTGAAATGTCTTGTTCTGCCTACAAACTGGCTGGAGACAGCTATCTTGGTGAAAAAAGGTGTCTTGAGAACAGTGCAAACTTAGAATAGGGTCTAAGCTATTTAACTTAAAGTCCACTAAAAATGGCATGGTATTATGTTGGAACCCACACTGCCAGTGTCAAAGCTCTGTTTCACAGCAACATGAACACCTCTAGGAGTCCGTTAAAAATGTCAATGGCAATTTAAAATTAATTAAAATTGCCAACTTCTAATGTGAACTCCAACTACATGACTGAGCAAAATGGCACTGGTTCTTTAAGGCTATGTGGTAAACACATAAACATGTCCCATGAATCTTGACTTTTTTTTTTTTTTTTTGACAGAGTTCTTGGGCATGGAGACAATGATCTGTAAATCAGTCTAGTTTACTTCAATAGAATATGCTGTATGCGCTTTCTAATACAGTTTTTGGCTTCCATGCTGAATAACTCCTTTTCTAAACTTTGAGGGGAGGTGTGGCCAGCTCTCCATGTGCGACATACCCAACAAACAATGATGTTTTTTTGATAAGTTCCTGTTTCTTTTTACATGGCAACCGTCAAAGTTTCCTAAGGTATTCCCCCAGGCTCTGTATCAAGAAAACTTTGTAAAACACTCCATCTATTAAATAATCTCCACAGTGCTCCCACCTCCTCCTTTTTAAGACAGTTTCATATTCCAGCAGACTTTTCTGGTAGCTCTTACAATACATTATGTATTTCAGGTCATGGCTAATAAGTGAAATAGACCTGCAGGTCTCTGCAGTACTTTAGGGGGGGAAATAATTTGGGTTGAGGGATAGGAGTGCACTATTGAATTGAAGGACTTTCAGGTGTGTGTGTGTGTAACCAAAATTATTTCAGCTTTTCAATCCTGCCAAATCTTTCAATTAATCTTCATTAAAGCTGCCTTTTATGGGGCTGAGTTAGTCTAACTTTCTCAGGGGTAGGATGTGACATAACTGATGTCAGTATCCAACTGCTAAAGACAGGTGGAAAGAGATGTCAATACTTAACACTGTTTCAGGCATGTGTCTGCTTCAGTAGATGTTTGGATAATACAGTGATGGGGTGGGAGTTGCTTACAGGTTGCTAAACAGAAAATATTGTAGTATACATTTGATATAGGTCTTTATTTTTATACTTTTGCTCTCTGACCATGTCATTGTAAAAGTGTTTCTCCCCATCCCCTACCAGATATATAGCAGCTATGTTGCTTAAACAAGGACAGTTTTTGTTCCTTCATACATTTCTCCTTGCAATTGGATCCCCTTCTGAATTGTCCTCCCACAGGACTACTGACTTGTGCCACTGTAAGCTTCATGTACTTTTAAGTTCAAGTTCCTTTACACTTTTATTTTTTGATCACTGACTCTGTTTTATCTGAATCATTCTGTAGGGCTGCAAGGTTCTCGTTGATGCACGGGACAAACTAGGGATTCCTTGGCAGTACACGGAGAACGAGAAGCATGGAATGTTTTTGATGGCTTTTGAAAACAAAGCTGGAATGCCTATAGAGCCTGCCACATTCCAGTTGTATGTACCTGCACTGAGCGCCCTGTGGAGGGATTCTGGAATCAAGGAAGCTTTTAGCCGTCGGAGTGAGTATCAGCTGGTAAGTGTATCCAACTGTATGCTGATTGAAGAGTTGTAAACGGGGTTTTTTCAGTCTGAATCCAGTTTAAGAACAGATTGCTAGACCCGGTGTGTGGCCATAATACAAGCAAGCTGTAGCAATGCTATAAATCTGAGCGTGCTATAGCAGCAGGAATGAGGAGTAATTGGAGCCAAACTGAAAAAAACTATGGGAAAGAGCGGAATAAGTGGACTAGACTGGAAGAACAAGAGGAACCAAAAAAGGCAGGAAATGATTGAACAAAAAAACCCCCCAAAACCTGAGTTGCTCAGTTGGGCTGATCATAGTAGGCCACTGATTAATGCACACTTTTTTTTTATATTTGTCCAGTTTTGCCAACTTGTATTCTATTGATGCTGGCAGGCTGCTACTATTTGCAGATCAACTCTTTTGAAGTTAATGTGATCCCTTTCCAAGCTGTTCTTGGATTTTTTTTTTTCCTTTCCTTTTTTATATCTGCAAGTTGCACTTGAGGCAGCATTTGGATGTCAGCCTAAAAATAAAAACTGTTTTCCCCTGTTTTCCTTTAAAAACAGACTTCTAGAGTTCAGCTCAAAACTCATTGCATAATATAAAATGCAGGTATGATAAGAAAGCACTTCTGATATTGAACATTTTTGTCTTTGATATGAATGAACATATATCTATTATGCCTGTTGGAGCAGTTGATGACCACCCTTTATTCTCCTGTCTTGTCTTCTTCCCTACCTTCTCCACTCCTCTTCTCCCCTCTCCCCTCCCAGCCCCAAATAATGAGGCGGTTGTTGAGGGACTATAGCCTCTTTTGGTTGATTGGTGTTTTTTGGTTGTCGCTAACCTCAAGATGTGACTACCTATTTGGGTTCAAACAGTGGTATGATAACGAAAATCTGACCAGTCACTTAAGTGGCTTAGCTTCCATGCTTATATGTTAAGTTATGTTCCATGTTTCTCACTCTGTAACTTCACAGAAAACATTTCCTTTTTTTCATTGAAAAGAGATGTTATGACTTCCTAAAATTGGGCATAAGAGGGAACTTTATTCTAAATAGTGTTTTCCTCGCTTTGCTGCTATAAATAACATTGTGTTCAAAGAAAGGAATTTAATTCTGTATGATGGAGAATGTGACTTCTTATGTGAGAATTGCCAGATGCAAAGGTGAGCCCAGTAGGAGTGAATTCCAAGTTGGGGCCTCCCCTTACTATATTACACTCTCAGTATTACCACTCTCCTCAGACAGGAGGAGAAATGCCATTCCATCTCCCTTCTCTCCCCTCTGAGCAACCATAGTGTTTGAGGCTGACAGGACGGGGAGAGAAGCAAAGTCAAGTGCAGAGTTTTAGATTTAAGCAAACATAAAAATTGGAAATGAACAAGTACTCTAAAGACTCCCTTCCGGGTGCTGCTGTGATCCGAGACATCTTAAAACATTGGGTTTAAGAGCCTCTCTTCCATCCGGTAGGGATTGTAATTCTCCAGATTTGAGATTAGTTTGTGTACTTTTAAGGTCTGGAATGGGAAATTGTTACTTGTGCAGACTTCCACCCCCACACTGTCAGTTCATAGTTAAGGAGGAAATAGGCAGTCCAAAATAATCTTAGTCCTTTTACATCCTAGGCATTGACGTGTAAAAGTAACAGATATTGTAATGTCATGCAACTGACAGTAATGTAACACTAATAATTTACCTAGACCAGGCATAGCATTAAAACATATTCTTTGCCTATATCAGAAATTATTCTTTGTCTTCCCTTGCACCATGCTCTTGTGCTCACAGATACACAAGTCTGCTATGTTTTTGTTAGTACTTTCATACAAGGAAGCAAAGTGGCCCTATAACTCTGCTCTTTTTCTAAGGAGTCAAGTTTTTGGCTTAATTTCAGTAACTTCATAAAATATAATATGCCATTCTTTATATTCTCATTGTTGCCTGACTCTGGAGAAGCGTTTCTGAAAACTAATTGCATAAATAAACTCTGAAGTTCTTGAAATGGAATGTGCTTGAAGTTTAAGGGCAGGAATTACAGCATTGCTGTGTCTTCCTTTTTTGGCCCTAAAAGGAATAACTGGAATTAATGGAATAGCTTATAACAAGATTAAAACAAACATTTCTGTTTAGCTGTGCCTTTTAGTAGTAAGGGTCAATGCCAGATTGTCAAAGCTCTGATTTTTGTGCCATTACAGTTAAGATTGTCAGTGCTTCCATTATATCCCTTTTCCAGAAATTTTAACTTTTAACTGTAAAATTGTGCTTTTGCTGAAACATGACTTAAAAATTCTTGGATCAGGAGTGACTCTCTTAAAATAGCTAGAGAGCTTTTTCAGTTTTAGTTAGTTTTTTGCATTCCTCAAAGAAAAGGCTGTATATTCTATTTCACTATGTGTGGTAATGCATTTATTTATTTTTTGTTTTATTTAAAACAAAACAACAACAACAAAACACACAAACAACCAAACCCTTGCCAATATACCTCAGAACCACAACTAATAGTCCTTGGAAATTTATTTAGGATAAGTTGTTAAAATACCTGGGAAATATTTATGAATTAATCTTGTATATTTTCAGCATACCTAAACATCCTTTAATTTGCAGATTGAAGTCTTTCATGCAGGTGTCCGGCTTGCCAACCTAACTCCTGTAAATTATTATCTTCTTAAAATGCTTTCTTATATTTGCTAATCCTAAATAACTGAGACTGTTTAGACCTAAATGCTTTATGACCACTTGAGCTGTGATAGTGGGATTGGAAACTCAACCCTTGTAATTGGCTGAAGTTGGTTACAGGAAAAACAACCTTTGAATATTACACGGTGACTAAGTATATTGCGGGGGCGGGGGCAGGTGGCAGAGTGGAGAACGGTTACATAGGTCAGATGCTCCCTCCACATCACTGAATAGCAATGAAATTGTATTATATTGGAAAGACTAGTTCCTTGATACAAGAGGTTTTTCAAGACACTAAATTAAGGCTGCTTTTGCATTCTTGAACTTCAGCTACAAGCTTAAACAAACAGAAGGCAGAGATGCATGCTAAAGACACCAGATCTCCACCTTTATGTTGAAGTCAGTAGTATTTGTAACATCTAATGCAGAGATTCCCAAACTCTTTTTGCTGAGCTCCTCTGTTCAGAGTCATGTTCCATGCATGGGGAGGAAGAAGGAGGGGTGCCCAGTACCCATAGGAGGGTCCATGGGGGTATTCCCCACTGGGACATGAGGAAGTGTGTTGCTCCCTGCAGTGGTCAGGTGATCTCAGCTCTTGAGTCCTGGTCCCTGCCTGTCCTTGCCCCCCCCCCCCCCCCCCGGGAAAATTACCAGGGCTGTGGTCAAGAGGGGCTTGGAGTACTATCCCCCTCCCCGTCCGCTGGACACTGCCCCATCCTGATCCTGGTCCTTCAGTATGGTCCTGTCTGCTTTCCTTGTGTAGACTTTGTCGAAAAGAAGGGTTGGGGTGAGCAGGGGGCTGTGTCAGGCAGGAGTATCAGTACTCCTGGGGTGCAGCCTTTGGCTTGTAGTTCTCAGAGTCCCCCCCTGGCCTTCCCAGCAAAGGAGGGTGACTGCTGGCTGGTGGCTGCAGCAATGGAGGAATGAGATGGGCAGGGAGCTTTCTTCCCTTCAGCCAAGAGGGCTCAGACAGAGCGCCCCTCCTCCCCCCCCCCCCCCCCCCCCCCCCCCCCCCCCCCCAGCTCCCAGCCCTTTAGTGCTGACCTGTCAGGTCTTTGTGTCCTCCAATAAACTCATCAGTGCACCCCACAGTTTGGGAACCTCTGATCTAATGTAACATGACTTAAATTGGTTATGTAGAAATATATTATATGGATACTAAGGGAAACAAAACTGTTATGGGCCCCAGAACTATTACTTGGGAATATTTTATATACAAAGGCATAGATGTAACCTGTAGCAGTACAGAATACTACTTGTAACCCGACCTGCTGTGAATAACATAATTTAAGACAGAAGACAGCAATTCAAAGCAATTCAATATCAACTATAATGCATGATATGGCGCACAGATACAATCGGAATGATGCCTTAAATATAAGTGAATTATAGTTTATTGCATTAAAGCTTCATAAGTGTACAATAGGAACTTAGAATTATGAACACCAGAGTTACGAACTGACTGGTCAACTAAATACCTCATTTGGAACTGGAAGTATGCAATCAGGCGGCAGCAGCAGAGATAGGGGGAAGCAAATACAGTACAGTACTGTGTTAAACATAAAATACTTAAAAAAAAAAAATTAAAACAAAAGATTTGACAAGGTAAGGAAACTGTTACTGTGCTTGTTTCATTTAAATTAAGATGGTGAATAGCAACATTTTTCTTTTGCACAGTAAAGTTTCAAAGCTGTATTAAGTCAATGTTCAGTTGTAAACTTTTGGAAGAACAACCACAACATTTTGTTCGGAGTTACAAACAGCCTCCATTCCCAAGGTGTTCGTAACTCTGAGGTGCTACTATATGTGGTACATGGAATTAAAATATTCTTGAGTGCATAGGTACTAGTTTTCAGATTGACACATTACTAGACAAGTCCTTTCAAAAATAATCTTGCTGCTTAATAAATTGAATGGTTCTGCTTCACCTCTTGTTGGCTCTTAGGGCTATTCATGCCATGCCTAATCTCATTAGGATGTAGCAAAAGGCTGATAGCTGAGGTCATGGAGATTGGGAGTAGCTTGTGGTCTGGCTTTTTTGTGTTTAACACCCACAATTTTTCAACAAGCAAATGCTATAATGTGGAGGGCTTATTTATAACCCCATATTGTAGATACTAGTTTAGATCTTGTCCACACCTGTGCACTGATTTGGTTTAATCCCTACGTGGGCACTTAAATTGGTCTAAATAGATGTAAACCAAATTTAACATGTCTCTGTTGATTTATAGGTCTTGTATATATGAGAAACTGAATTGGTTTAACTAAAGGTGTGACTTTAAACTGACTTGGTTAAATAGAATTATCCACATAGAAGTTTGCTCCTTAGTTCTT